GTGCTGCGTGAAGGTTGAGACGGTCAACGGCTGCCGGATGCCGTCCTTGCCGCGTGCAGTGCGCATGCCGTGTCGCGTTGACGACAGTGCTTGTTGTAGAGGTACTGTGGCGGTGGTGCGGCCGGCTGGGCGCCCGGCGCCACTGGCAGCAGCCTGGGACGAACCGTCCGCAGGGGCAGTGGCACCAGGCGCGGTCGAAGCGGGGCCACCAAGAAGCGGCACCGTGGCGGCTCAACTAGAGAGGAGCCGTGGCGCCCGTGGCCGACGCCAGTGCCAGCGCCGCCGAGGCCAAGGCGGTCGAGGCCGCCAAGCCGCCGAGAGTCGGTGCCCCGAGAAGATCCATGCCGCCGGGAGGCGGTTACACTGCAAGCACAGCTCTTGCGCCATCGGGCGAAGAGGAATCATCAGCATCCAAAAACTCAAGTGTGGTGTGGTCCTGTGGGGAAGAGGACATATCGGCGAAGGGGAAAACCGTCTCATCGAAGGTGACATGGCGAGAGATGATGATACGGTTTGTGTGAAGATCAAGACACCGATAACCCTTATGATCAGTGGAGTATCCCAGGAACACACACAGAGTGGATCGAGGTGAAAGTTTATGCGGAGTCGTGGATGATAGGTTGGGATAGCGAGCACGACCAAAAAACGCGTAAGTGATCATAATGTGGGTTGCGTGCGCCATATAGGGAAAAAGAAAGGAGTGGCCGTCGAGGGTTTTAGTGGGGTGACGATTGAGAAGATATGTTGCGATGTGCAAGGAGTCACCCAATAAACGGGAGGAAGACTAGCTCGAAAAGAATGGAGCGCACAATATTATTTATAGTGCGAAGAATGCGCCGGCCCGCCCATTTTGGCTGTGAAGTGTAAGGGCGGGACATGCGAAGAACGACTCCATGAGTGAGGAAGAACGCGGGCGAAGAATGGTCGAATTCACGGCCGTTGTCGCACTGGACTGCCTTGATGGAGGAGCCGAACTGCGTACGCACATAGGAAAAAAAGTGAGTAATGGTACCAAACGTGTCGGATTTGAGGCGTAAAGGAAACGTCCAAGTGTAGTGTGTGCGATCATCTAAAATAACAAGATAATATTTGTAGCCGACACACTAACAATCGGGGATGTCCAAAGATCACAATGGATTAAATCAAAGGCGTCTGAGGCACGAGAGTTTGACATGCTAAAAGGAAGGCGCACATATGCGACCAAGCCGACAAGCGTGACAAATATGAGTATCATGGCGCTTATTACATGGAATAGCATTGGAACTAATGAGCGTGGACAAAGCCTCATAACCGATATGACCGAGACGACGATGCCATAGAGTGGTGGAAGATGCAAAGAAGAAGAGGGCAAGTGGTGCCGGATGGCGTGAAGAACGGGTAAAGGTCTCCCGCAAGCTATTACACTGGCGATCACGCTCCGTGTCTCAAGATCCTTCACAGAAAGGCCAAGGGATCAAACTCAATGGAACAATTATTATCGATAGTAAACCGGCGAATCGAAATCGATTCTTAATAATGTTTGGAGAAACTAAAACATTAGAAAGAACTAGAGGACGCCAGTTGTTCAAAAAAAGAGTGTGATCCAACGAAGTAACGGGAAGTAAGTTCCCATCACCAACAATGATAGATGAAGGATGCGATGACGAGGGAGGGTGAGAGGTGGTGAGTATACCGCGTTGTTGACCATGTGGGAGCCAATACCGAAGTCAAGATACCATTCGCCTGGCCGGGAGGGGAGAGCGTCATGGTGCTGAAGTTGTTGGCGAAGCGAGGACGTGTCGGCTGCCTCCATGCATAAGGCGCCCACGGCCGCTTCTTCTGGAGGTGGCGGCGGGCGATGGTAGCCAGCGCGCCCGTGGCCGTAGCTTGATGGTGCGCCGAAGCTCGTGGCGTGCCAAGCCGGTGGAGCGGCTCGGTAGCCGTCGGGCGCTTCGCCGCCGCTTGCGGCACGACCATGTACCTCTGCAAAGAAGCGGTCTCGACATCGCTCGAGCAGCGGTGGCTGATCGCCCAGTGGTCTTCTGTATCGGCGGCGCAGCGCCGGTGTTGCCTGTCGGCGGCGCTTCGCCGCTTCTTCCGTTTGCTTAGTTGCGTCGGCGACGGCGTCCGGAGCGGCCGCCTGTTGCCGCTGTTGGCCGGTGGGCGCGCCCCTGTTATGCCAGAGGAGGCAGGTCCGCCGGTAGGGGGCGCCATGCGGTGTTGGTGGAGCCCATGGCCGCAAGGAGCGCCGGTGCGCCCATGGCCGCGTGGTGTCTTTGGAGGACGTCAGCGGCGTCGCCGCCAAGTCGTTGAGGTCGATTTCCTCGAGGAGCGGCAGGTTCTCGCCTCCGAAAGCCGGGGAACGGCCGTCGCAGCTTGATGTTCGTCACCATGGGGCGGAACTTCTCGAGAGCAGCGCAGCAGGTGAGGACGAGGGTGCGGTCGCCAACGGGTCGCCAAACTCATGAAGAGAGAGGCGCCCATCGCCTCGGGCGTCGGCAGAAGTCCGTGATGGAGGAGGAGCCTTGTTTGACGTGCGGAACTCGGCGGACAGCAAGAGGGCGCGCGCGACTTCGCTGCCGCCCGAGGAACTCGTCCTCCGAGATGTACCCATGCGACCCGCGTTGGGCTCTTTCAACATCGTGGACTGCTGCAGTCGGGGTTGATGGTGCCGTAGATCCACGTGAGGACGGTGCGCTTCATCTGCTGCAGCCACGCCGGCGATCATCGTTGACCACATCGGTGAGGACGTGATCGGTGAGGGCATATTTGCCCAAGACGACGAGGAAGAGGGCGCGCCACCGGGTGTAGTTGTTGGCGACGCGATCCGGACGACGGCACGACGCAGCACCTTGATGTTGAGGACAGCGATGGCGGCGTGGACGCCGGCGTGCCAGGCCTCGTACTAGATCGTCGAGGGCCTTTGGCGCGGCAGCGGCGGCCTCCTCTGAGCCTCCCGGCGCGCGCTTTCGGCACCGCCATGGTTGGGTAGAGGCGAAACCGCGGCGGGCGGACGGATTTCGGATCGGGTCGGGCGCGCTGACGGACCGTGGCGGCGTGGACGGATCGGTCGTTGACGACGGCGACGGGATCGGCGGCGGCGGCGATGGATCGGTCGGCGGCGCGATCGTAACTCACGGCGTCGGACGGACCGTGGCGGCGTGGACGATAATCGGTCGTGGCGGCGCGCGACGACGTGGCGACGGATCGGCGGCGGCGCGCGGATGGATCGGCGTCGGCGCGCGATCGAACGCACGCGCGTCGTGGCGGCGCGACGTGTGGTACTCCGGCCAGAGCCTTGGCCCAATGACGGAGGGGGAAGGCACGCCAGGGCGCGCGTCGGCGCGGCGAGCGAGGCCCAGCAACGGCGCGAGGCCGCGTCGGTCGTGAGGACCGGCGGCGTCTAGGGTTATGCGAAGCGGGATCGTAACCCCTCGATACCATGAAAGAATGTAAGGATAGATCTATTGATTGCATCGGTTACATATTTATACAACCTCTGCACACATGCAGCCACATACGCGACACACACATGCAACCGCACATTGCTTAGTCTAACACTCCCCACCAACAAATATGGCAGAGATTAATATTGATGTAGCCACGTTGAGTGAAGAATACAAACATGGGAACAGTAGCAGGCGTGGCTAGGTCATATGGTGGAAGGTATCGCCCCGATTGTGTTTTTTGAGGGTGCAAAGTGATGCAAAATCCTTGGAGGCTTTAGCGTGTAGAGAGGCAGTGGCACTTTTTTTAGACGATAAAGTATCCATTAGGAGTTTAAAGGAAGTGGCACTTCCCTAGTGGCATGATATTGTTTGCCTATAATAAGCGTATTGGCGCGTCCACCACAGTTTAAGCACAGGTTCGAAAACAAAGGCAGTGGCACTTCCCTAGCGGCATGATATTGTTTGCCTATAATAAAGAGTTTAAAGGAAGGCTCATTAGGAGTTTATATGGCCAAGTAATATGGAGATCACGACATAGGAGACTTTGGCTTATGTTGTTGCTTATGCTGATTTGTTGTGAGAGAAAATCGTTCGCAGAAAAATACCGCTGAAGTAGTGTTGCAGAACAGGGCGTTCTTTGAAGAGCACATGCATGTCTAGCTAGGTGTAGTGTTTGTGTTAGTGTTGGCAGGTAAACTTTTGCTTAAAAAAACATAGATTCTTATAGGTCAAAGTCATTTATAACTTTTATGTATCAATATCTAGGATTTTACATATTGACTGCACAGGATTGATACTACTAGATTTATTATAGGAACCTTTGTAATATATTCTTTGTTCCGGAATGTAGGTTGTTTTAACTTAGTTACATCGTCACATTGAAAGTTTAAAACCTAACATAAAACTTAGTTAAAGTTTTAAAAAATTTAAATGATATATATTTAAAATAGAGGGAGCACAACAAATAGACATTAGCAACCCAAAGAATATTGAAAAAGAAATAGTTAACTCACACAGAATACATTTATTTGATGACACTGACGTATTGTTTAGATCCAGGAAAGAAGGGGACATAACTGTCAGTATATCTTACTGCAGAGCAATACCATGATGCACAAATAGCCTTTGGTGTTTCAATGCACACATCCGACATTCAATAGTCGATACGCAGAAGACCAACTTGATCATGTCTTCAATAGCACTACCACCAAAATGGTGAACGAATTCACGTCCTCCTGCACTTGTATAGTTGTATGCGTAGTTAAATCTCCAGTATATAGAATAGTCATATACTGGATATGATCACTGATCGGCCACCTTATACCACTCTGAAGACTGAACTTGTGAGGATGAAAACCTCACAAGAAAAAAAAACCCATTACTTGCCGAAAATTTAAGGTAACATGTGAGACGAACCATACTCTTCTTATTATGTACGAGACCAATACCTGAGGCACTGCCAATGCTTACATGTCAACGGCCATTTAATTGCTCTATAATATGAACCACTAAAATTTCAGGAATCAAGTGATCCCAACAAAGAGAACCAAAAGGCCTACAACCTACTCTAACCTAGTCAGTTATCATCAGATCGTTAGGGACTTGTCCGAAGATGTCGGGGCAACCTTCCCAGCTGCTCTTTTCTCTGGATTCCCAGTACCCACCGAGGTAACGGTATGTGTCAGTATCTTTGTCCTTTGCAAACCACCGAGGCTTCCATCCGCTCTCCTGCATCTTTCGTGCCTGCAATATAATTGATACAGCTCAGTTAGCCTTCACTAATGAAGCCAAACTGCAAGTGTAACTCAAGTCATGGAAACTAAACATGTTTCGATGATTACTTACAAGGCTAGTAAAGTACAAAATAGACATTACACAGCAATTTTCTAACATTTTCAGTCATGTATGCAGTATGCAGCATGATGTAAATTTTACCATCTGTTCTCTCAACTGTTCACAGAAGTTCCTATGAACCGCAACCTTTGTTATGACAAATTCTCAATCCAGTTTGCCTTAGAATCGCAAACTATCCTGTAGGCGTGCAAACACTCCAACACACATAGGATATTCTTGCACGTTATTAACTAAATCATAAGTTAATGCATGTCTAGCTTCAATACACTAATGGACATGACACCCCAAATATATATATGGAACTACATTCCTTCTGTTGCTGTCATAGTGGTACCACCTTCCATCCCAGGAAATACAACTTTCTACTGTAAAGGAATAAAGGATACACCTCCTCCGGTTGAATTTATTTGTCATTTTGACAAAAATCACCTTTAGTATTTGAACTAACCCCTCCGGTCAGAGTAGGAGTTTCATCTATATCCCAGATCAGAGAAAGTAGTTCCATTTACTTAAATTTAACTCACATTCATGTCTTGTCACAGTACCTGAGGTGTGATGGCCAAGATCATGTTATTTGACCACAGCATGATACAAGACGAGAAAAAGGAATACTATACAAGTGAACAGTTCAACTGTGGTGGACGCTGAACTGTAGTCAGAAAGCAGAAAACCTAGCCAAAGGATTGAAATAGAAAATAGAGTGTTGACTGCATGGATTTGGTTATTTTCCGTATTGACTTATAAAGGGTTCAGAGTGAGTGCAGTGCACCTGAGAAATAAGACTTAGGGCCTGTTTGGATCCATTAGCACTAAAAATTAGCTAGCTAATAGCTAATAGCTGCTAAATTTTAGCAGGAGGCTGTTTGGATCTATTTGCTAATAGGTGGTTAGATAGTAAGTTAAAGGTGTATATGAACTATTAGCACCTATTAGCAACTCCAAACCTGCTAATGGAACTAATAGTTAGTAGCCCTTCAGCTAATAATTAGCAGTTTTATAGCAGGTCTTTTTGGATCCACTAGTACTAATTTCAGCTGCTATTTTTTAGTGCTAATTGATCCAAACAGGCCCTTAATCTAGTCTGCTCATTTGCAAGCAGGAACAAAGGTAAAGGCAGTAAGGTACACACGCCCTTTATGCTATAAATAGTGATATTAATATAGGTCGGTCAGCAACCCAACATACAGCACATTAAACTTGAAGGGCACTGGTGTAACTGCGTAAACATATCGCGTAGTATACCTATGCAAACTTCATTAGCCTACATTTTTTTCACATGTAAAATGCAAACTATAACTCTACCAAAAGATCCAATTCAGTTTTTTTAATTGGGGGGGTAGCGTGGGGTGAGGGCAAGCAGTTGTACAGATGTTTGCTGCGCTTGATTTGCAACAGATTTGTTCCACAGTTCAATAGAACAAAGGCTGCAAAAGTGGGAAGTCATAGACTGACCTGCCGCTGCCTCTGCTCAAGCCTCAACTTCTCAGCATTTGCCCTTTCATATTCACCGTTCTCCAGACATCTCTGGTCTGGTCGTAATCTTGAGTCTGTTGGTGGTAGTTTTTCCTGCTTACATGTAAAGTATGAACCTGTTACCTGAACACAGTAATATAATCTTGATTCTTGAAATGAAGCTTGATATTAGCACACAGTAATCTTTACCTTCAATCCAGGGGTAAGTTCATTCAATGTAATTGCAAAGCGAGTGAGATTGTATCTAGTGGGAAACTTAGGTGGTCTGCTTCTTTTCCACAGCAAATGGGCCTCTGAAAACTGTTCAGTTCCCTTGCCTTTCCCAAAGCAATCACCCATCACATAGTGCATGCTTTCATCCCATTTTCCAAATAGTGTAGCAACAGTTCGACCATTTCTATCTTGAACAACACCTTGCACCTGCATATACATTGGTTGAACTAAATAAAGCTCACTAAATTAACTAAGCTAGTCTACAGATCAGAAAGTTGGGCACATCAAATAAGACAGTGCAGAGAATTAATACCAATATTCAGTATTGATCTAAATTTCGTGTGAAATCATTTTTCAACTTGGAACAGAAAGAGAATAGTCAGTAGTTAACAGCAAGGACAGGACATTATTTATTCATTCATTTTGGAAAACTGCTCAATATTGAATCGAAAGTTTACAGAATCAACAAACAGACTGCAGTTATATGTTTTTATCAAGTTGGTATATCATAAACTATTATTCACTAGCACACAGCAAAGCTATAGTTCCTATTGTATAATTTTCCGTTGCTTTTTCAGATCTACAATTCTAACAATAATGAGAAGGGAAAATTGGTTGTGTAGCATCGAAAGATCACGATCTCCGTAAAATACCATCGAAAATTTGCGTCCTTGTAAAATACCACCAAAAGATTGAACCGTGAACTAAAAATAGCATTCCGTTAAAATAAAGCGACAGAAGTGACGGAACTGAAAGTAGCCTCCGTCACGCCCTTACGGGTTGTTCGTGGACGCTCGCCGCGAACAGGAATGGCTCCTGCGGCACCACCGGCACCACGTGCACGCGCGCCTCGTGCTTGCAAGCGCACGCCCTGCCGCCCCGCTCTCGCCCGCCAGTCCCCCGCCTCGCGGCCGCGCCTCTCCCGATCCCGATCATGCTCAGAACTTGCATGGGATGGAGGAGGAGGGCCCCTGCAGCGGGACGTCCTCAACCGCATCGGCGACATCAAGGCACTTTCGGCAACAAGCGCCCTCATCTCGCGCGCCGCGCCACGCTTCATGCTTGCGCGCCGTCGACTTCTGTCTTCGTCCGCGTCGACTGCGTCATCCCGACGACCCGCCGCCCTCCTCCTCCTCCGCTGTACCGGTCTCCCCGCCGCACCAGGAGCTAGCTGCGGGCGCAGCGCGTTCATGCACATCGCGCGCGTCCTGGTCGGCGGCATCGCCACGCGCTCGGCCAGATCCTATCCCCCGCCGCGGCGGGCGTCTCTCTCGGCGCTCGAAAGCCATCGCCGCGCCGCGCCGTCACGGACGTCTCCCACCAGTCCACCACTTGCGCTCCGAGGTGCTCCGCTCAGCTACGGCGCCTCCACATCGAGCTGGCACTGACGATGGCGTGCTCCTAAAGTGGAAGGCCGACTTCGGCTCCACCCTCGGCAGCTACGTCATCCTCGGCGTCTCGTCGGTCACGTCCAAGCCGCCGACAGGGCCATGGTCCGACGGTGGTGGCGGCGGCGCGCGCCGCTTCGGCGCCAAACTGCTTCTTTGGGCGTGTGCTTCTTCAACTCGGCAAGGACGCGTGCTTCTGGCCTCCAGAACCTGCTAGCATTGGTGCAGCGGTTCTACGAGCCCACGTCCTGGCGCGTGCTCCTATAGTCCTATCTGGCAAGGACGTGCGCAAGCACAACCTGCGGGCGTTGCACGTGGTGGTGGGGTGCCGTAGGAGCCGTTCCTGTTCGCGGCGAGCATCCGCGACAACATCGCGTACGGGCGTGACGGAGGCTTCCGTCACTCACGTGACTTCATTTTAACAGAATGCTACTCTCAGTTCACGGTTCAATCTTTCAGTGGTATTTTACGGAGCGCCAAACTTTCGGTGGTATTTTACGGAGATCGCGATCTTTGGATGCTACACAACCAATTTTCCCTAATGAGAATGTTCAGGGTAAAACACATGCAGTGTAAATTATCTCAAGAAAGATTCTACATACTACAATTCCCAGAGCTTTCAAAAAACTGTTCCCACACAAACTTCTGGACAAAATTGTTTAAAAGAATGTCTTGCCATAGTGAGAAACGTATCACTTGCCTAACATGCAGAGAGATTAAAATATTTATACTGGTGAGAAACAAACTGTAAAGGAATGCACTAAAGAAAGAATGGAAGAACCGACATGCTAACAAATAACTAAGTGTTGAAGCAAAAATGGTAATTACCTGGTGAGGATTGCGATCTATAATTGACTGCTCCTTGAACTTAAGCTTACATGAATACTCGCGATTACCTTGTATGCGCATAGTACCATAGTGATCGCAATATAGCTTGCCCAATATGAGATTGTAAATTGAAGTTGTCACCTGAACATATTTCCAATCAATTAAATTGATAGATCAATCATCTATTAGTTACTACCTCCGATCATAGATATATTATCTCGGTTTTTCCTAAGCCAAACATTTTAACTACTAGCAATATCTATAAAAATATATTACCTTGGATGAAAAGAGTTATATACACCCTCTAATCCAAATTATAAGACGTTTTAGCTTTTCTAGATACATAGTTTACTACGCATTTAGATATATGTCTATTTACGTAGTAAAAGGAATGTATCTAGAAAAGCCAAAACGTCTTATAATTTGGAACGGAGAGAGTATTATATTATAAAAAGTAGTTTGCAAAATGAATCTAATAATGCCAACCTTGTGTCAATGTATATCAAAAAATTTATATTGGTATTCAAAAGTTAAAAAAGTTTGACTTGGGACAAACTAGATGGACTTATATTTGTGATAAGAGGAAGTATGTAAGAGTACCTTGCTCCATTGGAAAACTTCACCATCATCAAACTCCAGTGTTAATGCACCAACAGGATCGAGCTGAATGGAACGACCCCAGAATTTACTCTTTAGGTTGCTATCAGCCCAAAACCTCCAGCCAGTTCCCTCGCAGTGGCATGCAACAACCATAGGGTGATGACTAACCTGGCAAGTGGTTGAAGAATTTTTTTATCAACAATAATTCACAGAGACTAGATCTGATGTTGCAAAAGTCCTGTAGTACGCTCAAGTAGCTATGATTTGTGAGTCTTAGTCACAAGCTATGAAGATTAAATAGGTACAGCAACGTAGATCAGAATCAGTGGCAAACATGGTACCATCACAATAGGAACCGAGAACAAGTACAGAGAGCAGTAACCAAGCATAGAAATAAATGGCAGCATTCAATATAATGTGAATCCCAATGTCATATACACCTATCTGCTGATTACGCTACAGTTAAGTCATTTATCAACAAATAATTTGACAAACTTAAGGCATGAACATAATGTTCACCAAGAATAAGGCATGTAGCAGATCATGACAGTGAAGCACTATAAATTATACAACATGAATAGCCCAAATTTGTGTTGCCATTTTAGGGGAGGGACTTAACTAGACAAATCATATACTCTCTACTCTTTTTTAAAAGCATAGGAAGCAGACTTATTAAACATTAAGCATCAAACTTCCCTATTACTTTTTCTAACTTATAAGAGAACAATATAAATGGATAAAATAGATTTACTCATGAAAAGGAATAATTACACCAACTCAACGAAGAACTGTGCTTAATTAACAGACCTTTTCAGAGAAAAAACGGAGGCCTTTGTCTGGATAGTCTGCTTCATATGTCTCCCCAAGAAGGGGATTAAAAGGCTTACAGCTCCTCCCATCTGTAGAGGCATATCCAGAAACAGCAAATGCTGCTACGGTAAGAATCCTCATAAGACTGTTCCCCTAGGTATAAAAGAAAAACAGATGTGTGAGCTGCTTAACTGTGACCAGCCCATTCATATGCAAATAGGCACTTTTTTTCACTAGTTAGCTATTTCAGTTATCACAGACAATGGGAGCAAGTGAGCATTTTCTGTTCAATGACACCCCAAACAATGGGAGAACATCCAATGGTGGGTGATCAAATGATACACATATAACCATATGAACAATAGTGTAGGAACATTCTTCTAATGTGGAAGATGCACCAGTGAGGCAGTGACAAGACTTAATATATGAAAGAGGAAAGTCACTCTTATAAGCCAGATTGAAGATTAAATGAAATATTATTATTGTTTTCTTCTCTGAAATGAAGGGGTGCTGGATGAAGCTATAACCTGCATCTTTTTATGGCATGTTAGGCAAGACGGCAAGTTGAAGTCCCCATGTTGGCAAGGAAACTAATAGGTTTACATGTACTATTTTCAAATTGTTGGCATGATTAGTTTACAAAATGGTTAAACTTTGTAAAAGTTAGCTTACATAAGTTGTTAAGAGATTAAATGTACACCTATATGAAGGGGTGTTGTAACCAAGATGAAACAAACAGTATATAGTCCCCACATTTCTCTAGCCAGGAAGACAATAATGTTATCTTAATGTAGTTAATATCAGATGTCCTCCACAAGGCAGGATAGAGTATCATTAAGTGTATGCATTAGTTGCAAGTTCGATATGATATAATGCGCAATGAAAAATCTAATAAACCAAGTGTTTATAGCTACTTGCATTCAACATATTAGAGAAGATGTGTGCATGAGCGAAAAATGCAAGCCAAGAAGTAATACCCTTTTCCCCCATTCAGATGCCCGATCAATAAGGTAGGAATATTCAAGATCTTCAAAACATTTTTGTAACGATGAGAGTGGCTCGTTGAAGTAAACAGGCAGACAAACTTTTGCAAGATCCTTTCCTATGTTGTCCTTGATCATTGACCACAAACTTACACCCTTTTCTTTCTCAACTGGATCTGGCAGCTTCTTCCGTCTTCTTACATATGGATAACTAATTCCAATAGACTTCATGGAAGGATCAATCCCATCCATTGGATAATCATCTTCATCATCTGAACCAGCTTCAGATCTTTGGTAATCAGATCCACTACTTTTAAAAGAGCTTGAGGATAGAAAATCTCTTGTATCAAAATAAAGGTTCTCATCGTCGTCAGTCTCTTCAGCAGGATCTTGTGGTTCATTATAATCATCAGATTCGCTAGCACTTCCTTCTGAAAAAGGAAAATGATAGCCCATTAAGCCAGGTAAAGTAAACCAAATTGGTGCACAGTGTAAATTAGAGCTCGAAATAGATGGTTTCCATGTTATTCAATAAAAAACAAACTAAATACACATTCCAGAAATTCATCCAAAAAAAGGCTGAACTGTTTGCTTTTCTGGTAAGGAGGGATCACAATTGCCAGCAAATTACGTGACACATTAGGGTCAAGAATGGTTTGCTGCAGTGTTCAAATATGGGCTTCTATTTGGTAGGAAAGTTGTGTGTTGTGGCTGCAGCAAGGAGAGGTCGTTGCAATTTCTTATGGTTGGGTATTGGGATTGCGTATAGACACTGTCGTATAACATTGAAATCAGACCAGGTAACTAGAGGGAAAATGAGTTGAAGTGGTCTTGTGCTAGTGCTATACTAGTATCAATCAAGTCTCTATTTATTTCTAAGGGAGTAAATGTGGCTTTTGCTTTGATACTGCTTCCATCTGAAAAGGCTATTTGGGTAGGATATCAAACCTTGATATAGAAGTATTCGGTTAAAAGTTTATAAAACATTCAGATGAATAAAGTTTGAAGCTAATTTAAAATTTACAAAACCAGATGAAAGATATTTGAACTATTAGAGACAACACGTACACTAGAGAATTCTGCTAAGAGACAAACTTCACAATATTCAATTAGGTAGGTGATCAAAGCACCAAGTTGAATTTACGGAAGGGCAAATAAGGTGCATAGATTATCATACAAGAATCATGACACTCAGCAATCGTACAAGGATGTTGTCGTAATTGTTTAATATGAAATGTTCTATTTTAGATATGATCATGCCATGATAGTGGATTTATAAAACTTGGAAGAATGCATCCTTGTGAGGAAATAGGAAAGGGGATTGCATGAATGAATAACCTAACCTAAATTCTGCCATCACTAAGCTCAGTTTTGATTTTGCCAATAATAGCAACAGAACTTCATAGTTCATATAACCACCAAAATAATTAGTTTAAAAAAGCTAAGGGCAATCTTTTTTTTTTTTTGGAAAGTTCCTAGTATTTTTGTAATAGTTACACATGGAGACCAAAAACTTGGCAACGTTGCAGTCAACAAACCCAGCTATGCTATTACTCAATCATCTACAAACCATAGCCAACCAATTTGTCTACTATTCTGCTGGCTTGCAGCTACTTTGTCAGTATATGCCACTAGAAAAAAATTAACTGGTAATATCTAACACCAGAGTGGCATTCCATCATGCAACTTTTGTAGTGTCGTATTAACAAGGAATTTGCCCACAGAGGTACAGTGCATCTCAATAACAAGTGTAACAGTGAGACATGACAAACCATTCCACCAATTATCATACCACTATACTTCTCATGTCTTGGTTTAGAAGCAGATCCATACTCTTTCGACTGCCTTTGGCTCTCATCGACAAGGGTATTCTCCAAATCAACCTTTTCTGTCTAGAGAAAGGCAACACAAGAATACATTATCAGATGAGGATGTCTCTAGCATGAACATTTTACAGGTTCAAGTCCCCCAGTAAACATGAATATACAGATCTTACAAATCAGTGAACATGGAAAGCAGGTAAGAGAAGGAAAAGTTAAAACTTCTAAATACAAATGGCAATAGTCCACATGAACATAAAAGAAATACAATTTTGGGAGTGAACAAAAAAAAGTTAGTCGGTATATTCTTCATTCTGCCACAACATAAAATTATTTACCCGACTACCTTCTAAGCTCCGTGCAGCGTTAGAGTATGCTTGGTGATTTATAGTAACATTCTAAAATAAAAATCACTCATTCTTTTCTCTTCTACATTCACTACCTTAGTAGTTTAAGTAATATCACATAATTTGTAATTCAAAATCCTCAATATAAAATCAAATCATCAGCAACCAAATGCCAGCTAACCTAAGCTAAATCAAAAACATGTGTTACTGAGTAGATGCTCTCATGTTTATCAGGTCTGACATGACAGAATAAATATCTAATGCTGGTTAGCTTGCTCTATGGGTTAACAGACTCTGCTTTTAGCCATCAAAACAACAAAAGACAAACTCAAACAGAAAAAAGTCAGTCAAGGAAATGTCAGGAATAGGAAGTATGAGAAGTATATCAAATGATGGGTAGAGTAGCTATAGCAACTAGGGTACTATGTTTGTACTCCAAAATGACCAAAACACATGAGAAAACAATTTGTGGTCAAGAAACAAAAGCTCAGCAACATAACCCCCGGAAGAACTTTGTTATCACCAAAGAAGCAGATAAAACAAAACCAAAACAAACATCTAGAACTATTAACTGAAACTTTGCTTTGTTTTCTCTTTGTTGATGACAAGACGTAGTAAATAGACAGCATAAGATAGCTTCGGCAGCACATTCATTATCAAATGCCCAAGTACGTTTGGTGACTGACAAAAACAACAGCATAACAAAGGTAGTAGAAGAATTGAAAAAATTTATAGCACGATCCATACAGTAACAGCTAAAACTCAGAGCTCCAAGTACAATATGGTCAATTGATGCAATCTACCACAGAATAGCATGTTCTGTACGCCAAAATTTACCAGTAGCTTCGTACTTCCAATCGTGTACAAGATGCAGAATATCGCAAGCATGACACACCATGCAGTAAAAAGCAATCATTCCGACTTCATGCACAACCAGATTCTGTTCAGGTACAGTTATGGAAGTACCTCTAGCTGGCGAAGAGTTTCCAAGAGGAGCGCATTCTTCTGCTTGGATAGCACAAGCTGCTTGTGCAGAGCCTCGAATTCTGCTCGCACGATCGTCTCGCTGTCAGCAATGGCCGCCTCGCTGACCCCTTCCTGCTGCAACCGCTGCCTTAGGCGCTCGGTTGAGACGGCCACTGCCGCTGCGGTGTCCCCAGGCCCGACCATCTCGCTGGAGGACATCCTCGGGAACATGTCCTTGGTCGCCCGCAGCGCCTCAAGCCACGCAGCTCTGTCCTCCCTGGTCTCCGCCCGCAGGTGCAATGTCTTCGTCCCCGAGAAGATGGAGAATCTCTTGTCATCCGATCTGCTCTCCCTCACGGTTGACACCTGCACACGCAACCACCCCGTTAGCAAGCTGGCAACAGACGAAATGGATCTGGCGATCACGGAGGCGGCAAGAACCGGGGACCTTGAGGTGGATTTCGCCGATGGGGTTTCGAGGCTGGTGGTGGCCGTTGGAGTGGGACGGCGAGGAGGCGGACGGGCGGTTGAGGCGGCGGAGGGAGTCCTCGCCGATGACCTTGGCGCCCCGCTCGGTCTCGCGCGATAGGATGATGCGGTCGGGCCCGTGGATCTTGTAGTAGGAGAGCACGCCGTCGTGGAGAGCGAACCAGCGCGGCCTCCACCCGCGCCCGTAGTTGACCCACTTGTACAGGATTCCCGAGATGCCGCCGCCGACGATCTCGTTCAGCTTCACCCCCTCGGGCGGCGAGGAACCGCCTCCTCCGCCACCGTTGACCCCCGCCGCGCGCGCGCGCCTCTCACCGATGGGGGCGGAGTTGCTTCGAGGCGGCGGAGGCGGCACCGGCGGGGGCTGCGGTGGCGGCATCACGGCCGGGGCGCCCGCCACCGCGGAGGATGCGGCCCCGGCGGAGGCGGCGGAGGCCGCGGGCGATACGGGCACGAGCGGCGCGCAGCAGAATGGGTGCATGGGGAAGTCGGGATCAGCACCCGGCCGGGGCGCGCGCGGTCGCCCCTGTCGCCGGCGAGGTAGCGGATTATATTTGTGATTTTGGTTTTTTATTTTTGCTCCGGGAACGGGCTGGGTGAGAGGTTTAAATGCCGCCGGGAGCCGGGGAGAAGGAAAACGAAAAGGGAGGTAAAACAGGAGCTAGTATGTTTGCCTTTGGATGACGGTTGGGTGTCCCTTTTGCTTGGTCACGACTCTCGTCGTCAAGGCTCAGGGAGGCATTTTCTCGATTAGGCGAGTAACCTTGTTGCTTTTTGTTCTGAAACATTATTTGGCTGTGTTTTGAATATGTTTCGGCAAATTGAACCACTGTTTAGAGTGGAGGTACTCAAACCCTACGTGCTCCCTCCAACAAAAAAGAAAACGAAGCCTAGGTTTATAAAAAAAATATCAATACTTCTTCCATCCACGAAAGAATGTAAATGTCATTTTTCGATAAATCAAAAAGTTTGAACTTTAACAAAAGTGACATAAAAAGGTACTAACATTCATGGTACAAAATAACTATCATTAGATTAGTTATAGAATATAATTTTAGAATAAATTTATTTGAAGACACAAATGCTAATATTATTTACCATAAACTTAGAGTTTGACCAGTGCGGTCCCATAATTGCATTTTTCTGTGGACGGAGAGAGTATATCTTTAAATAGGCTTATTATAAAAATATTTTTTAAAATTAATCTAATGATGTATTATAAATATGTATAGTGTCAACTTAAGATTGTTTGACTTTTTGAAAAGCAATATTTTCATTCTTTCTATAATGAATGGAGTATCATCTTAAAAAAACAGCCATATAGCTTATCTAGAGGCTCTACCTGCTGCTCCATCTCCAATATCTAAATACTTTGTCATCAAAACACACCTCCTATCTCCCGTACAGGGATAGAAACCGTCGATGCATGTTGGCACGATGATATGGCCGCCTAGCGGCTGTTGGAGGCACGGCAATAGTTTCTCCAAGAGACAAGAGTAACATTGTGATGAACCTAGCAATGTCTAGGGCAAAAAGGGCAGCTACGAATCCCAATATAATGTAGAAGATGATCAAGAAATTAAATCTATAAGAGGGTCAAGGAACTAAACAATTTGTGAGGGTCTTAGATAATACTCCATCCGTTCCAAATTGTAAGTCGTTTTGGCTTTTGTATGTACATAGTTTTTGCTATGCATCTAAATGCATGTTATGTCTAGATACATAATAAAATTTATGATTCTAGAAAAGCCAACTTACAATTTGGAACGAAGGAAGTAGTTTTTAGAGAAATAGAGCTGAGACCGAAAACTAACTTGATTGGGCATCGGTAGGAAATTGCATAGGCACAAGTTGTAGTGGGAATAAAGGAAGATCAAAGACAAACAAAATCGATGATAGTTTTACGGAGTCCATGCCAATATAGGCAATTAGAGGTGCATATAGAGAAAACCAATAAAATCAACAAAAATATTTGCCAAAAAAAGATTTTCAAGAAAAAAATGTATCTATTGGTGCTATTTGTGCGAACGATCTTGGTAGCTTCTGATAAAAAATAATTGACATAACACTAAAATAACACATTGAGGCTGATATATGTGTCAAGTGTCTAGTTACCCAACGGCACAAGGCAGGTATGAACTTGCGGTGGAGACACTGTGAGATATCGATCGTGTTCGGTACAAAAGCACTCCCGTTAGAAACTATATATAAATAGAGACAAAATGCAGTTAGAATAAGCTGATTTTATCCAGTTTGTATGTGTTAATACGGCTATAGGAAGCAGTGCTCAAGAAAACTATATATAATATATAGAAAAACATCGTTTGCCTTAGCTTATTGTAAGCTTAAGCACCGCCCAATGAGACCCGAGTCCCGACCGTCTCGTGCGTGCGTTACGTACACGTACGTACTCAAAAGTGGTGAGCCGGGTCCCGGGTCCCGGGTCCCGGGTCCGGCCATTCCATGCGCCGGGACCCGTCGGACGGACGGCACGGCGCGAGCGTGTCGTCGCGGTGTGCTGATTGCTGGCCCAAGCCAAGAGACGTTCCGGCCGGCCAGGCAGAGGCACTCATCGACCATTCTGGTCGCTCACGCACACACGTCGTGGCCCCGTGGGGCGCTGAATCTGACAACGACGAGTTGCACTTGCACGTCGAGGAGTGTCCCCCGTCCGGTCCATTCCTTGATGTGGCATGGCAGGGTGGATTGGCTACTGAAATAGGATTATGCTCTCGTAGAGGCTACGAACATACTCCGTACTCCCTCCGGTCGATAATAAGCGATGTTTCTGAGGGTCTTTGGAGTTGCTCAAGAGCATCTCCAAGAAACTATCTTAAACACACTATGTAAGTTATTATTTTGAGAGTTATTTGAATAATCTAATCGTTTTTATATCTTTTCATCCTCTAATAATTTTTCTATATCTTATACACACTGTACAAAACCAATCACATTTTATATCTCTGATTAGCAAGAAATCCAAAATAGATGATGATAATATTAGGATATTTAATTAAAAAAACCACTAGAGATACCAGCGAGAGATACTAAATAAGACCAATGCTTATTTATGCCTTCTAAGATTCTAATAACCCGTACGAGGCATGGGTTTGATGAACTAGTTTATCTAATTTAAACACCAATAAAATATAGATTAACAAGATATATAAAGGGAGATTTGGCTAGTATGCTGAATTATAGGTAGAGAATCCTATTTATTATAATAAATAGCCAATAGAGATCTAGAAGATGGGGCTTAAAGTGTCCGTTAAAGATGCTCTCAGAATACTGCTTCTAAGGGGGTGTTTGGATTCAGTGACTAAAATTTAGAAGGTGTCATATAAGGATGTCGCATGGGGTGTTCGGATACTAATAAAAAAATAAATTACAGAATCCGTCAGTACTCAACGAGACGAATTTATTAAGCCTATTTAATCCGTCATTATCACATATTTACTGTAGCATAACATTGTCAAATCATGAACTAATTAGGCTTAAAAGACTCGTCTCGCAAATTAGTCATAAACTGTGCAATTAATTTCGTTATTAGTCTATATTTAATACTCCATACATGTGTCAAATATCTGATGGGACAGCGATTACAAACACCCTCTAAAGACAAAGTGGCTGCGAAGCAAATGTCGTGCTGGTCACGCACGAGCCTCTCCATATGGATATATGGTGGTGCGCAGGTATTGCCTCCTCGTCCGTCTCAAGTCTCAACCGAAAAACCCATATCATGGACGGGGTGGTCGCACAGGATAAAATGAAGGCGCGCGCGGCATGTCAATATGGGCAACGCGTAACGACTTTTGACTTCGTGAATTTCAGCCACGTGTTGGCGTGTAGCGGCCGGTGCTATCACTTTGGATGACTGGTCGCGCACGAATCTGCACGACCATCGCTAAACTGTTAGAAGTAGAGACCGAGACGAAAGCGAGAGATGTAAATAATTCTCTGTAGTTTTTCCAACGAACAGTGTACATACATGTACAGAACCTATATGGGCATTTACAATTGTGAAAGAGAGAAGGGTGAAAAAATACCCCTTAGATTAATCCCTAATTGATCACTAAATAATAATTTTTAACACTCTCTCTTGATCAATTAACTCTTTATAGTTTTTACTGTTCGTCTATTATGCATCTTTATGAATCTTTCGAAAACCCTGTGGGAAAAACCAAAGTAATACTGGTATACCAGACAAAATTCCTTAAAACCCAGTGAGAAAAATAAGGAGAAAATACCATGATATAGATTCACCAACGTTATTAGACCCTTTGAGATAAACTCAAAGCCTTAGTCTAAAAATATCTTGACCATAGGGTTAATATGCTTCAAATATCATCTTCCAAAAACCCCGGTGGAGAAAACTAGATGATATAGCATATACCTTTGTGTTGACATTGCCTCATCAAAAACTTTATATGAGAAATCATAAATGAAAAACTCACATAAAGAAAAGAGTGCAATGTATTATATGTCACAATATCACCCTCTAAAAAACCCTGTGGAAAAAATAGATGATATGACATAACCTTGTGTTGATATTGCCTCATTAAAAACTTTATATGAGAAACCCAAAGGAAAAAACTCATACAAAGAAAAGAGTGTAATATGATTGTTTGCAACAAGTTATTAATCAGAGAGACTCTCCCTGATTCTAGCAAACCTTGAAGTAAATTCATACCAATTCCCTCAACACATAAAAAATGTGGAGTATGGTACATTTATGTGAATATCTCTGTATGATTATCACAAGACTTAGTTTGCAAATGTTCTAATGCCCATATTACCTATGGAATAGAACCATCTTAGTGCAAAATATTGTATTAAATATAACTTGTCTCCATCTACGTAACACAAGTTGCATTACCTTTATACATAATGACTATTGATTTATAGAATCAACACCACATAACTTCAATATGTGATATATCATTTTGTCAAGCTATACACATTCATGTGAAGCCTTATACAATACAATGTCAGAATGATTAATGAAATTGACCATTAAATGTCTATTTAAAAACTATCACAAAATGGTCTTTCCATATCCATGTAAAGCCTATTTCAATGATCTAGAATTTGGGGATCCTATAGATAACTAGAATCATTATATCCACATAATCGAATCATGGATTACACCAAGATCATATGTGCTATTTGAGATATTAAAAGATATTTTTAACTTCAATCTACCAACATTTGGTAGGAGTAGCGCTGCTACTAGATAGCAAATCATTACAAAAATAATATCCGGTCGGGAACTTTTGCAAGATTTGTTAGCGTATAAATAGCACAGAGATAATGGACCACATGTCCCAATATCTCATCTCAGTCACTATGGCATACAACAATCTTCCTCTATCATGAGGTAGAACAACCATAGTATACTTTCATATTGAATCACTTAATATGATATGAATATAGATAGTTTTTTTGTACAAAATCCTGAGAGAAGATGCTTGGATTATAAAC